GCAGTGTTTACAGTCACCGGCTGTAAATGGGCCTAAGCCCAGAAATCAGAAGTTGCCCTCTGAGGAGCTGATGAACTGATGGTGCCTGCCTCTGCCCTCTTCTCCCTTAGGCGATGAGGTGGGTGGTGTGTTGATAGACGTCGTGAAAGCATCTGAGTGCCTGGGCATGTGCCATGGGTGCTAGGCTACTTACTGAGTTGAGTAAATGTGGGAATGCAGACTGGAAGGTGACACCAGGCAGATTAGTGCAAGGACAGCGGGAAGTGCCTTCTTATAGTGTACACACACTGTTACCTGGGCAGTTCCAAGAGATGGACACAAGGATGAGGAGGCCTGCTCATAATACCGACCCCTGTACTGCTTACTGTCAGGACATGTTTCAGGCCACGAGACAGCTGGTGCTCAGACTCTCAAGCCTTTCGCACTGGAGCTAGGTGCTACAGACCCAGCTATCCTGCAGAGGAGAAATGGGAGTCCATAGCTCATAGCCCAGCCGCTGACTGATACCCGTTTACCTCTCAGACCCAAGTTGTTCTCGGTCCTCAGGAGAAATGGGAGGTTCCTGTTGTGCTTTGAAGATTCATTGAGCTTTAGGAAGGATTTGAATCCACAACCGCCAACGCTAGAAGTGGCCTCCATGGTAATCTTCCATGTAGATTCTGACTAAACCAGCCTATGTCTGCTTGTGCTGTGGCATTCTTATCTCACAGCTCTTGGGGACAAGCCCGAGGTGGTGGTTGTAGACATCAGAAACCTACAAGATTTCAGCCCTGGCCACACTTAGAACTGCTCTGAGGTGTCCTTGTAAGCTGGATTTTTCAAAGTGGTGCTTTCCCAAGTCCTCTGGCCTTTTCCCCTTGGGAAGCCCAGACCGACCTGTCGATACCACAGTTGCTGCTTGCTTTGAGTGGCTTCTGTTTGCATTGTGTGCAAGCTAGAGGTAGGTTCTGGAATGAACCCCGCAGCCTCAGCCCAGCCACCATATCAGGGCGACAGCTTGTTTGTACAGTTGATGGTGCATTTGTGCTGTTCTCCCTGAAGACAGTTAACTGGCCCTATTGCTGTACCCAGAAGGGGTTGCACTGGAAAAGAGCGATCTCCCTGCAGACAGGAGTGACTCGTGTATGGTTGATACAGTGGTCTCTCTGAGCCTCTGAAGTATTTGAGCATGTGCAGGCCCTTCCCCCTGGCCCTGCTACAACCTGTTCTACTTGCTACTGGGTCAGAGCACTCTCCTTGTAGTCAGTTCACTGCAGAGAGAATGGTTTGCGTTGGCTCTGTTGCAGCTTTTCCTCTCAGTGTCTGAAAATACAATTTTTAATGCTATGCTAATTTCTTTTAGTAGACTTGACTCTGAAACGATTTGAGATTTACAGTAAAGTTTCAGAGATGATACAGAGTTGCCATACACCTGCCTTCCCCAGTGTTAGTGTCTACATAACTACGGCACACTTGTCAGGATGAAGGCATCAGCCCTGGTACATTACTGTTAACTGAACTCCAGACTTTATGTAAATTTTGTCAGCTTTTCCATTCACAACCTCTTTGTGTCCCAAAATCCAGCCTAGGGTACCACATTACACTTAGTTGTCATGTCTCCCAGTCTCCTCTGGTCTGTGACAATTTCTCAATCTTTCCATGTTTTTCATGACCCCTGACAGTTTTGAGAAATACTGGCAGGTGTCCTGTATAATGTCCCCCAGTCTGAGTTTGTCTGATATTTCCCTCATGATTAGGCTGATGTTATGGGTTTGAGGAAGAATACCACAGAGGTGAAGCCCTATCCAGGGTACTTGATATTTACATAACTTCACTGGATGGTAACCTTGATCACTGGTTAAGTGGTTGATTTGCCAGTTTCTCCAGCTGTAAAGTTACTGTTTTTCTCTTTCCCTGCTCTATTCTTTGGAAGCAAACACTAAGTCTAGCCCACCCTCATGGTGGGTTGGGGGATGTATAAAATTAAGCCCCACCTCTTGGAATCTATATTATTTGAAATTTTTCTGTACGGAAGTTTGTCTCTTCTCTCCCATGTAGTCATTTATATAACTATGGACTCATGTATTTATTTTATACTTTGAGTTATAATTCAATACTTCGTTATTTATTTTGTTTACCACATTGTTCCAACTTTATACTTATTATGAAAGGTCTTATCATATGTAAAAGGGATGCGTTGAATGAAATAATGTTTATAGTATCTTCTAGCTCTAAAGTTCTGGCTCAGGAGCGTTTAAAAAATCACCTTAAAGCAAGACATTCTAAAATCAATTTCCTGATTTGCTTACTAATCCCTGATTGTGTAGGCTTGGCACTTGATTCTACTTTCTTGATTTCTTTTCTAGAACGTCTTCTTGACCCATTTATTTGATACTGGTGCCAAAGAACATATGTCTGTAGGTATAAAGCTACTATGGCCTGGGAAATATAATAGAACTGACTTAATTATATCTTTAGTTTCCTGGATACACTTCCCAAGTTGCTGTTGGGAAGAAACAAGTGTGAGTTTAAAAAGCTATACTGAGAGTAGTTAGTTCTTGGTCATCATATACATTGGCCTCTAACTTGAAATCTGATCTTAGCCCATCACTTCTACCCGTTAGATGACCCCTAAGCTTCCTTACAGCTGTAATTTTATTGTCAGAGATGGTAAAACATCTGACTGGCAGTTCTTATGTCAGTAATCAAGGCATTCTGGCAAGAACAGGAAATGGTCAACCTCTCTGAAACAAGCTTATTGAACCCATCTTCACCATCCTTTTTATTTTGGTTAAACACACACACATGGGAAGAACACACCCTGAAATGGGATGTATACAGGTAGTGCCAGACCATTCAGATTATACTGTGTAGAAGGCATATTTTACTGTTCGTAATGACCCATCATGGAAGTAGCTTTGGCGGATCAGAGCTGGAGTGTTTGTTGTTGGTATTTACAAATCAGTGACTTCTTAAATGACATTTCTTTTACAGATACTGTGTAGAATCTGTGAACAGAAGTATAGAAAAGGAGCCAAGGTGAATAGAATTTGGTGGCTTAAGTATGATCAGGCCCAGTGAGTTTAAAGAAGCTTTAGTTCTCAGAGCCCAGGGCGGGGGTGGGGAAATGTCATTAGTCTCATATACTGATAACAGCCCTCAGAAGACAGTCCTTTCTCATAAGCATTTAGTTTCCTGAGCTAAGAGAACGAAGCATATTACCTGTAGTTGAGTGCACACAACATATCGTGTACTTCTGAGAGGATTTTGGAAAACAGATGGATGAAAGACAAGTAGGAATCAATGTACTGTCAAACAGAATGTGTTCATTTGGGGAAAAACACACACAGAGTGAAGGATGTTGCTTTTGTTAGAAAGATAGGACAGAAGAGCATGGAATGGCTCTTTCTCGGGCTGCCTGCCCTGAAGTTGTTTGTTAAGGCACATGCATATCATACTGGTTTGTGAGATTGACTTAGAGCCTGGGATGAAAGTGCTCTGACCCACCGTAGCTGGCCCCGTCCTGGACTTCTCAGTGAGGTGGCATGCGGCGTGTCCTGGCTGATGGCGTTGGATCAACAGGTTGGACTGCCGTGGTACTCGTTTCCACGAGGATTCACATTGCTTTAATAAGGGTGTCTGAATGGATGCCCATTCCCGTGAGTCATGCCAGCGCTGCTGGTGGCTTTCTCTTCTCCCCAGGTGGAAAGTGTTGCTAATCCTCGACGTGAACACCAGATGTCAGTGCATCTCCACTTTCTAGGCTTCTGGCTCCTAGCTGTTTGGATGCCACCCAGCTCTTACTGCAGCTCCCAAACCACCAACCTCACATTGAGTATTTATGACCACCTGACACCCGAAGGCCCCCTTCCTCATGCACAGAACCCAAACTGAGAGTAAATACAGCCCAAGAGGGTTTTTTTCAGCTTCCTTCCCTACTTTCTTTACTTATATATTGTCTGTATTTCCATGTAGCTGACTGATGAAGTTGATTTGCCTTTTCCTGTCAATTTTAATTACAGTAGTTGTTTAGGTGCCTGGACAATTTTTTATGTTTGTCTTCAGCAGGGTTCACACTTCAAAGCTTCTTGGCCTTTCTGTAGCTTGCTTTTTGAAAACCTTCCAGCAGGAAAGTAGATGCCACTGTTCTCTGAATTGAGGTGCTGGACATCAAAGGAAACTGCAACTTTGTTTATTCTAGTTTGAACCCATAGCTTTGGCAGTTGAGGAAATAAACAACTGAATTATGGCCAAAAGTTCTGTGGAGCACCTTTTAAAATGAATCTCTTATGGTTTCAATGTAGATAGTAGGGTTTCCTTATCTGACAGAAAGGCGAACTTGGTATTAAATTGAATTATTGTAGAAAGTCTGAGACATACTGAATTTTTGGTATCTTTTGATCACATAGATCATGGAAATAGCCAGGGTGATACCTGTCCTAATATGTCAGGGTTAGTACTGGTTGATACCTGTGTCCTGGTGTAATTATTAATAGCGCCTTCTCTCGCTCTCAGTTGACCTAGTTAGGACAATATATGGTCATCTAAATTGCCCAAAGAGGTGGGAGGCAGTTGATATGTAGCAGTTTTAGTAATTATAAGCATTTTTTTGACTCAAGAATTATGCCTGCCCAGAGTTTTCTGAATTAAACACATGAAAAATAAAGCAAAAACCACAAAGAACTTGTAATTCTGGGAAAATATCTTTTGGTTTTCTATATATTGATCATTGTTCTCTAGAGTAATGATTTCCAAATATGGCTGTGCACCAGAATCACCTGGTAACCTTTTTACAAATAGTTTCATGAATCTCACTGCAGACCTCTACTGAATTTGTACCAGAGTTTGAACTTGTAGAGCTTCATGCACTGTAAATGTACTGGGCCACTGTCAGCTAGCTGCTTAGCTAGCATATAGAACACTTCTTTCCATGGTTTGGGGGGTGGTTGGGGTTTTTGGGGGTGGTTGCTTTGGGGTCGAGGGTATGCCTGCCATTGACATGAGTTGCCTTTTTATTTCAGATGTCATCTGGGTGATTCTCAGTGTGGAGGTGGGTGGACTTTTAGGAGTAACGCAGCAGCTGTCATCTTTTGAAACGGAGTTCAACACACAGCCACATCGCAAGGTAGAAGGAAACTTCAACCCGTTTGCCTCTCCCCAAAAGAACCGACAATCAGATGAAAACAACTTAAAAGACCCTGGGGGTTCCGAGTTCGACTCGATCAGCAAAAACACATGGGCTCCTGCTCCTGACCAAACCGAGCAAGATGAGAATAGACTCTCACAGAACTCTGTAAATCTGTCCCCCAGCAGTCACGCAAACAACTTATCAGTAGTGACTTACAGTAAGGTAGGTGCCCTCGGAGAAGAGGAGAAGGGGTAGGTGGTGGGCCTTGGGATCTGTGATACCCCTTCATGGCAAACTTACAATCCTAGAATGTTCTTTAAGACTGCTTAGCTCTCCTGCCAACAGCAACAACACAGAACCTACCCCTTCTCCCCTCCCCCCTCCCCGTCTTCATGTCCTGTGGATATTACTTCATCCACATTTATAATTTACTACTGTCTCTCTGCTCTGGTTTGGGTGTTGAAACAACAAAGTTGTTTACCTTTAGCATTTAAAGAAAAGAAAGTCAAAATATCACCAGCCATGCTTCCATCGTAAACATATACTAAGCTTAGAGCAACAGCACACCTTTGGGGTTGGTTCCTACTTTTTTTTTTTTTTTTTGGGGGTGGGATTTTGTTTTGTTTTATATCTTTTCTCTGAGGAAAAAGACAAGCTCAATTATTTATCCTAAATGTTGTTGGGCTTTCCCCTCAGTTACCTTGTTTGTATGTCTTCTTGTTGATGTCTTTTCAGTCTGTGTGGCCTCCTCATCTACGACCCAGAGTGGCCCAAGTGATATTTTGACTTTTCACGTGTGGGGAATAAGAGAATTCTTGTTGAGTTAACCATGACTTTAAATATTCTGATTGTTCTGAGACACTCTCCTGGGTGTTCGATTTCTCGATCTGTTTCTCTTTATGCTATTTGATTACGCAGTGTCTTCCACACGCCGCTAAGGTGATGATGGTTCCTGGTTGTTGGTTTTGGTTGGTTGAATAAGCCCTGGTGCTGAGAGCTCACTGTTGCTGGTGGTCCATGTGGTGCGGGCCAGTGCCCTTCCCTGTGCATTCTTCTCTGCTTGGTCATGCTGCATGCTTGGCCCAGCATCCCACCCGTATAATCGTATCACTCTTAAGTCTGTCCTTGCTTTGTGTTGGCCTTTACCCTCAACATTTTAAAAATAAAATTGATGTTTATTTGAGGGACGAGTTGCTCTGTTGTAAGAATGGTATTTTTCTGACCAGTGCTTTGTATATGGTGTAGATCAGGAGGCAAATTAAGAAACCTGGTGATGTGAATACTCTTTCTCCACATGGTCTAGTAAGAGGAACTTCATTCACTAGTGGTATAGAAAAGGATTGATTTATTGGCTGATTGGATAGTCATTATAACAGATTCTGTGGAGTCATGTTAGTTCTATAGGATATAAGAGAAGTAAATTGGCAAGGCGGTAAATTGTCTGTATTTGAGGAAAGACTTCACATCTTAACACTTAATCAAAGATTTTCCTCTAAGCCACTGTTGCTCCAGATTTTTCTTCCTTAAATTTAACCCTTCAGAGTGTGACTGTTCTGGGTGATACAGGCTCTAGGATGCCTTCTTAGAACAGGAACTTGAGGCAGTTGAGTTTAATGGGAAGATGAGAGTTGCAGGAAGCAAAACTGGTTGCTCCAGTACTTTTTATAATGGAAGCCCCTTTACCCACCTGTGAAATACCTGGCTCGGTCATCACTGTAGTCTTAGGAGAGGGCTGGTGTTCCAGGCCAGGACACTGCACTCATCTTCCTGAACTGTGAACCTGTGAGCTGTTTTCTGTTCCTTATTTTAGGGCTTTAGGGACTGATGCCTTTTAACCAGCTCTGTTTGCCCTGGCCCAGGTGTGTTTGGGGGTGTGCAGTGTCAGAATGGATTACCTACCAGCCTCAATTGAGGTCCCAGCATACTGCTTTTTCAGAAGGGCTGGGCTACGGTGAGACTATTGAGATATTTCTTGAGGTTGATGAACTCAGGTTACCACAGATTTTTTTTCATGAATTCTGTAGCATCATTCAGCAGTAGCACTTGAAGAGCCACAGAGAAAGGTTCTCATCAAAGACGATATCCAAGGAGACTGTTGTATGTAATGCATTGAGAATGTGGCACTTAGATCCCAGAGAAACTGGAGCCTCCCTTTTTTTTTTTTTTTTAATTTAAGCAGAATCTTATTCAGAAAGCACTTTGTGAGCAACCAGCAAGTTTGCTGAAAGTATTTCTGGCTTGAGTCAGCTCCACCTCTTAGGGCTCCTTAGGAATGGGATGGGGTATAAATAGTCATCAGTAAGTATTTGTTAACACATTTGTGCATTGTTTAGAGCACTGTACATTGTTCAGTAGGAGACGTGAAAAATAAAAGAAGTGGGCTGGCCGAGTGGCGCGGTGGTTAAGAACTCGCTTGGGATGCCAGAGGGCCCC